TCTCTAAGTCCTTGAAGAATTTTGGCACTTGGGGCTGATTTGGTTTTTAGATTAAGGTCTTGAAGATTGACAAGAAGATTGTTAATTTCTTCCATATCAGACTTAATTACAGCAACTTCTTCAAAGAACTTTGAGAGGTTTCTTTCATCAGTCGGGTCGAGTTGACCCATCTCAATATCAGGCCCTGCTTCAAGATCCATCATTGCCTGCTTCTTCAATTCCACATAACTTAAGAATGATTTCGTCATCAGGTCATTCATCTTTACGACAATTCTGCAAACATCCAGATAGAGAAAACAGAGAGACACATCAAATTCTGTTCAATTCATGAAATCATGTAAAAAAATTCCCAAACTTGTGATTTCTTTATTGCTAATTTTCAGTAACAAAATTTCCCAAGAAAACAAAAACTATAACAAGTACTCCATTAAGCAACATTTGTGATCGGCTATATGATTCCTCAAGAACTCAGATAGAGAAAAACGAAAAAGACATCAAATCATGCCCCCAAATCTTGAAACAATTCAAAATTATAAGAAATTCCTAAAGATTCATTGCAATACTCAACAGATAACAAGCCCTGAACTCAGCCTTAAAATCTACTTAAAAGAATCAACAGAGCAAGAAAATTAATAGAAATTAAAACCATAAAAGATTACAGGATGGAAAAAAGAAGGGTACCTTGAAGAATTGTTGAGACGATTTCGCTTACTCTGTATGTGAATTTGCAGAGAAAATGAGAATTGTGGAGTGAAGAATTTGGGGTTAAATGAGTGAAGAGCTGTGATGGACTTTAAAGGGACGTCTATTTCAAATTCGAAGAAATATAGCCGTTATATTTCGTAACGTAATTAGGCTACTAGCCTCAAATTTTCTTTTACAGCTCATCCTACACCTGGGATTACTTTTCATTAAAATAATTTTTAATAGAAATAAGATAAATTACATGATATAGAAAGAAAAAAAAAACAAGTACATGCTAAAATGGGATTACTTTTCATTAAAAGTTTATCCATTTTGGTTTGGTAAATGATCTTTATCTTAATCAAAAATGTCAATTTATTTACCTAAATATTATCTATTACAGCGAGGATAAGAACCAAAACAAAAAGAGTTAATTCCGTTTACTGACATGTTTATTGCATCATATAATAATTATAATTCCAAATGCTCACTATATTTTTGTCAACACAAAATGTAAATAATGAAAATAAAGTACATATCGATTATGTCCAACATACAATCTACTTATAATTTTTGTGAAAGTTGCCCACCCTAATTTTGAAATTGGACCATCAGTAGAAGTAGATGCTACGAACTATATATGGACAAATTTATATTGATTAGAGGGGAGAAAAATTATTTCAGAAAATATTTTGTACTTTTTTATATTTAGTTTATTAAGATATTTTTCTTTAGTAAAATAAGTTTGTTAAAAATGAAGAAAGAAAAATAAAATTTTATAAATAGTATTTTAAATTCGTTGTCGTTTATCTATCGAACGCCTTCAATTTTCACCTTTTAATCATTCCACCCTGCATTTCGCTGAACTCTTACTTTTCACCCTTCACATTCAATCCTATAATATCTTATATTAAATCACATATAATAAAAAAATATCTACTTGCCAAATATTTTTTTAAAATTACTTATTTTTCTCCATACCTTTTCCTTTATGCCAAACATAATCTGATATGTGAATATTAGATCCTTTTTTGGTTGAACAAATTACTCAACGTCATATAAAGAGGGAATAATACATTCCCTCAACCAAGTTTGGAAAACTTTAACAATAGTAAGTTATTAATTTTAATCCCCAAAAATATGGGGAAAAAGATACGTATTGAGAAAGTAATAAATATACTTAATCTTGGATAGAATTTGAGATCAATTTTATTCGATATTTGATTATAAATATTAACTAATTTCAAAATTATTTTATCCCGTCATAGTAATAAAATTATTAAATGAGATAAAATAATTTTATGAGTTATTCTTTACTATCTCATCCCACGTACCAAATGAGTCCGACTTTTCTATTACTTTTTTTCCTTAACCAATTTATAAACTATTTCCCATGAAAATGGAAACTTCAAAGCCATTGACCAAAACGGCTGGTGTTTACAGATCGAAACTTGGCCGATCTGACGGAGTCTTCAAAGTGAAAACTGATGACGGCAGATTTCAGTTTGAGAAATTTGGGTAAAACCCCAACCCCTTTCTTCAATGGCCGATGGTTCACTGTTTTCGCTTCAATCTTGATCTTGTCTGTTTCTGGTGGCACTTACTTATTTGGTCTTTACTCACAACATGTCAAATCTTCATTGGGTTATGATCAAACAACCTTAAATCTGTTATCTTTCTTTAAGGATGTTGGTGCCAATGTAGGAATCATCGCTGGTTTAATCAATGAAGTTTGCCCACCATGGGTTGTTCTTCTAATTGGGTCATTGATGAATTTTTCTGGGTACATTTACTTATGGTTAGCAGTCAACGGTGATGAATTAGTCAAACCCCAGGTTTGGCAAATGTGTTTATGTTTAATGATTGGTGCAAATTCTCAAACTTTTACTAATACTGGTGCTTTAGTAACTTGTGTTAAGAATTTCCCTGAAAGCAGGGGAATTGTGATTGGATTGTTAAAGGGTTTTGTTGGTTTAAGTGGTGCAATTATAACACAGTTGTTTCATGCTATTTATGGGAATAATGGGAAATCTTTAGTGTTGTTAATTGCTTGGCTTCCACCATTTGTTTGTTGTACTTTGCTCAAGTATGTTAGGGTTATGAAAGGCGTTAATCGTCAAGAAAATGAGGTGAATATTTTTTATCAGCTTCTTTATATATCACTTGGTCTTGCTGGATTTCTGTTAATGGTCACCATTTTGCAAAATAGGGTAGCTTTCACTTTAGTTGAATATAGATTGAGTTCTTGTGTCATGTTGCTTTTGTTGTTTGCACCTATAGTGGTTGTAATCAGAGAAGAATTGAGAATTGGGAAGAATAGGAAACAAGTTTTAGATGATTTTACGCCATTGAAAGGACTGGAGCAAGGGAAGTTACCTTCGAGAAGTCAGGGGAAAGAAGCTTTATGGTTCAAGAACGTGTTTAAGCCACCAGAGAGAGGTGAAGATTATACGATTTTGCAAGCACTTTTGAGCATTGACATGTTGATTTTGTTTATTACTACTATCTTTGGAGCTGGTGGTACGTTGACTGCTATTGATAACATAGGTCAAATTGGTAAGGCGTTAGGATATCCTAACACGAGTATTGCAACGTTTACTTCACTAGTGAGTATATGGGGTTATCTTGGAAGAGTAGTCTCTGGCTTTGTCTCTGAGATTTTCTTGACAAAGTATAAAGTACCTCGTCCGTTGATGCTTACTTTTGTGCTCCTTTTATCTTGCTTTGGTCATATTCTTATAGCAATGGGTGTGCCAAGTGTTCTTGATGTTGCATTGGCTATTCTTGGGTTTTGCTTTGGAGCTATGGCACCTTTGATATTTTCCATCATATCAGAACTTTTTGGCCTAAAACACTATGCTACACTGCTCAACTTTGGCGGAGCAGCCAGCCCAATTGGAGCTTATGTATTCAATGTTAGATTGGTTGGTCATTTTTATGACAAGGAAGCTTTGAGGCAAATGGCAGCTTTGGGACTTTTCAGGAAGCCAGGGGATCATTTAACATGCATCGGTATCGAGTGTTACAGGTCTTCTTTTCTGATAATTGCTGCAGCAAGTTTTGTAGGGTGCATTGTATCATACATTTTGGTGCTTAGAACAAGAAAGTTCTATAAAGGTGATATTTACAAGAAGTTCAGAGAGCAAGCTTAACTTCTGGAGACTCAGAGTAAGCTTGGCGAAATAGTTTCATTCTGCCACACATTTTGTAACATGCTATGGTTTATAGCTAATAGTTTGAGTCCTACTGATCGATTATAGGAGATACTCGTATTAAATATGAACCCATGTCATACTGTAACACATTATACATATATATCAGAAAAAATAGAATGGCATGTTGACAAATACATAGGATAATTTCCGTTGGAGTTTTGACGGGTATAAGGTTCTTGTATTGGATTACTTCTCTGGGCGGATTTTATTGAAAAGAAACCTTTCGCTTACCCAGATTTTAACTTCTCTTTTGCAATATCTCCTATGTTTCATGTAACTTCTTTTTTTTAACAATCTATGAAGTATATCTACCTTCACAAGGTTGCGTATACACCACTTGTGGGATTGCACCGTTTATGTTGTCATTTTAACAATCTCTGAAGTCTTTCTTGTGTTTTACTTTTCTTTTCATCGTCTTTTTTCTCGAGACACTAAGAAGGATTCTATTCTGATATAGAGGTTTGGCTTGAAACAGCAGTTCATATTCTGACTTTGCAAAAGAAAAGAAGAAGAAGAAAAAAAACCCCTTCAGGCTGAGCCGGAGAAAGAGCACACCGGAGTTGCATGAGCTTAAATGAAACAACATTAACACAATTCATATAATCGAACTCAACTTTACTTGGAATGCCTCAACAAGAGAAACATCAGCAATGAACCCATTTCACAAAATATTTTCCCCTTTTAATACTGCATATGAGAATATTAGTAGCACATGAGGAATCTTAATAGCTGAATTGATCACAATTGCATCTTGGACTTGTATACTAGTCGTCGTAGTATTCCTCTTTATATTTTCTTGTCCTTCCATTTCTATCGTTGTGCATTTCTTATACTTTTGTTTATCATATTATTTTATTATATATATTGTTTCTTTTTCTTCAAATTGCTTAATCATGCTTTCTATAATATGTTATCATGGCTTCCTTCATTTCTTTTTCCAGACTGTCTTGTTTTGCTTTTCCTAGAGCCAAGGATCCATCAAAAACCACCTCTACCTTTATAAGATCTACATGCACTATACCCTCCAAAACCCAACTTGCAAAATTATACTACACAAGGTAATGTTGTTGAAAGGGTGTAAATTTCATATGCAAATGAAAATTCACTGCCAGTAACTACAAAAGACCCTGCTCCAACCTCCATATACGAAGCTTCTTTCACAAACAATGCAATAACTCTGGCTCTATACGTCCCAAAATTAGATTTATATGACTACCAGAGATGATCAGAAAACTGGAAAAGAAAACAATTAAAGAACGCTAACAAACTACTACATTTGTTTCCCCGTTTTTCGTGTCAGAGATTAATGCAAGTACAAATCACATTTTAACTAAAATATGCAGCAATCCATCTTGTTTTCTGTTTTTTCCTACTACACTTTCTCCGTTTGGTCAAATCTGCCAAAAGCTCAGTCGGCTCTTGAGCTGCTGCCACTTGCTGATGGCCTTTTCCCGGAATATTTCTGTTGCAATAACAAAAGAAAAAATCATGTTAAACATCTCAAAATGAGATAGTAACCTAAAATTCCCTACACCAGCAGATAATGTACTATTTGAGATATAAAACTACTCAATAGCTATTGAGATTACCTGCTTTCCAAGGTTGAAAGGAATGTATCTGTATTTAATCATGTGTGTAATTTGTCGCCTCATGGTAAGGACGAACAGAACAATCCAGTAGCACAACAATATAGGCCAGAACACAGGAACATCAAATAGGGAGAAGAAAGTCATGACAAATGCCACACAGAAAGCCTTTGTTATGGCATACCTGAAAGAAAGATGGGGGGCAAAAGAAAGAGATAAATAATAAATATTGCTGCTACAACCAAAAGGTTCAAAAAATTACTTTTCTTTAACCAGGTTCAAGAAAGTATTTAAATGCCTAAAACATGCATAAAAACTCTCTTATGCTATGCCAACTATATAACAAAAGATACAGGGCAACTTCACACCCAACTTAGTCACTTAAGCATAGCACTGCATTGAATTAGCTTTCTGGCATTAACACTATCAATCAACTACCTCAATCCAAACTGGTTGGCGTTGCTATTTTCTTAAGACTGACAGGGATTGGCTATATGAATATTTTATATCCATTCCGCTCTAATCAGGCCTGTCTGGCAACGCCCTACTAAAAGAAAAAGAAATCTTCCACCTTTGTTCAATTCCTGTTTCTCACAGGCAAAACATTAGCCAGCACAAGATCTTAAATGCAAATCATGCAAAAATACAGCAGTGTTTCACAACAATAAATTCATGTAGACAAGGAAATAAATGATCCAACGTGCTAATTTTGAGGTGGTGGAAGACCCTGTAAAGGTCCATGGGACAGAAGAAATCAAAGTAATCAGAAAAGATTACAAAACAAGCAAGAACCAAAAGGAAAAAACAGATGTCAGGCTGTCAGAGCATTGGGTAAATATTTCTTTGAAAGGGTGTCAGTAACCAATTTGGCAACCTCCCAATTCCTGAAGGACCCAAAACTCTTATGGGACAGATCCATCAGGGATCACATAAGCCAATGCAACTTATGAAGTGAAAATTGAACATAATATCCAAGTCCATCTGTGCAGGTCAAATGCATCTTAGTTGCTATGATTTATGAGATCTTTGGAGTAAGATCTTGTGTAACAAGTCAAGAAAAGGAAAAGGTTCCTGTAAACAGAACCATAACATATTTTAACGAGGTACAACTTCCTTTTTTTAGTCTCAATGTTAGCTAAGTACTTAATGCTGAATATTCTAGGCAACATTTAGAAATAGCTGAATCTATGGTCATGCAGCTGGTTCAAGATATAAAGTTAATGTTAGCGCAGCCAAGCCAAATATTAAACATTAGAATGGGCAACATAAGTATAGGAGTGACTGTTATATATGACAAAAAGTAAATTAGCTTAGAAAATTCGTCCAGATTTCAAGTATACACAGCAAGGAGGTTCTACTGCATCAATTCCTACTTCCAAAGTTTACCAAGAGAGCTAAGCCCAATGCAAACATTTGACTATGAGACAAGGCAAACTGAGGCAATTCTGATACAAGATAATATATAATGTACAGGTGACAAACCCTTTCTCCGAGAATTAAGCAATGCAAAAACCATAAAGCAGGAATTATTACCAGAACTTGAACTCTGGGAGGCGACGTATGAAAGGCTTGAATTCATCTGAACCTTTAGTTGGCAACATAGGTCCATCCGAAGGTTCCAGCTCAGGGTCAACAAGAGGTGACAGGAAACCAATCAGCAAATTAAGAATGTAGATGCCCAAGCCATAGGTAACAACATAGAATCCTTGAACATAATAAACCCGCAGAGCATAAAGCAATGCTAAGACAAAAGTTCCAATCCACCTATATGTAGAATGAGGAGTAGTTTTATCTAAATAGTATTGGAAAAGTTTCGAAAGTTCATGCCTCCGCTGGTTCAATGCTGTAGCCGCTGAGGCACCATCACCTCCAACACCCTCCATAGAAACTCAACTTCACAATCCTAGAAGTGCCACATAAATGTAATAAGATCAACACAAGGAAGACATTGTCAACTGAGTACATTACTTGCTCAAGTTAAGAAATAGAAGAATTAGGACTTTAGATTCTACTAATGCTTAGATCATGAGGAGATTAACACTAGTGAAAAAACTGATTGCTTAGACCACCCAACATAATATCAATCATTGACAAATGAATGACAATACCACCTTCTTATTACCAGTAAGTTACAACACCCTCCAAGAATTCATTAAAAAGCACACAACTATCAGACCTTAAAAAAAATCAACTAGAGCAACCAAAACTTTATCGCAAATAAGGCTAGAACAAAAAAGAAGTTTGCAATCTCAGATACAACATCATCGATATCCTCTCAAATTAGGCAAGATTGAGTGAGTGATGCACTTATTTAAGATTTAAAACAAACTCCATGAAGAAGCTGGTTCAACTTCAGCTAGTAGTCCTCCAGCTGGTTCAATTTCTTTGAGGGAAAAAAAGAAATTATACAAGTCCTCCCAATATAAGATATAATTCAACTGTATCATACAATAAACTATATTTTTAGCAAGTCAACTATGTAGCTACAATTAAAAGAAAACAAAATAAATGGGCGTAGGATACTCATAATTTAAATGATTCATACAATAAACTAATTTTTTAGCAAGTCAACTATGTACCTAGAATTAAAAGAAAACAAAATAAATGGAAAAGTGATTTTTCATTTCAATGCTTTGTACTATAACCCATCATAATACATCAATTTAACAACCTAAAATCCTCCATTAATGCCCTAAAAGTCAAGCTCATTTTGGTCCAATGGAACCCAGCAGTAGACGTAAACACTCCAAATCACGCAACGAAAATAAGTCTTACCACAATTTATTTCTCCTAATCTTAAAGATTTCCAGACTATGACACCCATTTTTGAACCAAAGCAAACTTTGACAAATTCGGATTGAACCGACCCACCCCTTCAAAATTCATCCAGTCAACACCTTATAATCATCCATCGGTACCCTAAAATCAAACCCATTTGGTCAAATAGAACCGAGCTGCAAATTGTTATCTCAAATAACTCATTTTAGTTCTTCTAATCTTAAAGATGCACATAGCTATGATCACCCACCCATGAATAAACAAGAATCTATATGTTACAAACAATGATAAGAATCAGATCTAAAACAAAAATCACATAAACATTTAGGGTTAGATTAACATTGAAAATACAGATTACCTTTCACTTAGTGAAGAGATTTAGAGTGTTGAATAGAGAGGGAAGAGAAAAATAAGATCGGATCTGTGGCTCTTAATGGCTACCGACGAGTGAAGAAATTTCTATCTCTTTTTCTTTTTCAATTGACAATTCTCCCCTTTCTGCTATTTCTCATTTTACTATGCCCTAAATAAACAAACAACATTTTCTATTTATCCGCTTAGAATATTTATTTATTTTTATAAAAAAAAACATTAGTTAAATTGGTAGTTTCCTTCTCTACTTGGATTTCAATTAAATAATTCCCAATTATTATAATTTTTTTAACAATTGGGAATTACAAGGTGAGAAATCAAATTTTTACGTGTTAATTAATCAACTAAGCTATTAAATTTCTAATTGTCGATCTTATTCTTAGATTTTTCATTTATGATAAGTTTTTTCTTGATTTCTCATTAAGTCGATCAATCTTTAATATAAGTATGTCACAATAAATGCTATCAATTATCCATTTTTATTTGTCCTGCAATTTATGAACTTTTTAAATCATGATCTAGATATCAACTTGAAACACAAATTTAACCACAATTTAAATTTTAGAAACTTTGGATGATAGTTTTACTGTATGAACCATAAATATATATTTGCACAACCCTTAATTAATATAAATAAAATTCATAAAATGGTACGCTACAAAAGAAACATTTTCTCTTGCGTAAGAAAATCAACGAAGTAATCCAAACACATAAAAGTGGGCCTGGATCTTCTCAAAAAGTGACCCGGCCCATCTTTATTTCAACGACCCGAGCCCAACGAGGGTACACCAAGATTTTAACCTGAACTTCCTAGTTAAGCCCACATTTAAAACGAATTGGGCCCTAGTTGAATTTGAACTGGACCAACGTAAAGCAAATTGAGTAAATAATAGGACAAATTACACAAATACACACCTTTTGTTTCACTTATTTCCATTATCCCCAATTACTTTTAAAAATCTCCAAAATTCCTTATTTCTTTAATGTATCCGAGCTGCATATTAATGTATCTGAGCCAGTATTTAATGTATCCGAGCTAGTTTTTAATGTATCCGAGCCAGTATTTAATGTATCCGAGCTACATATTATGTATTCGGACTAGTTTTTAATATATCCTAGATAGTATTTAATGTATCCGAGCTATAAATTAATATATCCAAGCTTCAATTATTGTATCCGGTTTTTTTAATTTTTAAGGGATTAATGTAATTAGAAACTTATTAGGGATAGATTGTAATTTCATATTAAAACTATGGGATTTATATAATTTACCCTAAATCATATTAGGAAAAACTACATAAAAGGGGCATCAAACCTAAAATATTTACAGTCTCATACCCAAACTCAAAGTAACTCTTTATATATCCATTTTCCTCTAATTATTTGCAGCCCATACCCCCTCCCTTTTATTAGCCTATTCTTCCTTTATTGTCCAAATCGTTCGGCCCAATTTGTTATTCAAGCCCATTACTAATTGTCCAATTGTTCGGACCAATTTGTTATTCAAAAGGAATAGCTCCCACGGAAATAACCCACCTGGTTTGTCTAAGAGGAGCAACGACGAAGTTCAACAGTTGTGTGCAGTTTCTTCGGTCTGCCATTGTAAATCGAGATCAGTCTACTTTTTGTGTGGTATTTTGGGGGTATGAAAGTAATGGGGTATAGAATTGTAAATATTTTTCTCCTAAGGGTTATTTCCTTGGTTTTCCCAAAAAATTATGATATACTTACAAACCAATATTCTTTGGATGATCTAATTTATAAAATATGTATATATACATATATTGTACGTAGAATATGAATACTTACACTTAATATATTTCGATCATTTTGTATATATTTTGTAAATTTATTGGTGGTACTTTACAAATTAGTAAGTTTGCCAAACATTTCACTAGTGATAAAATAAAATTTTCAATTTAATTTTAACAAACGATATTTTAACATGATGTTTTGTGTTTGGAAAAACAACTATGAGAGATTTTGCTCAAATATACAAAAATTATAGACACATTAATGCACATATACTTGCTTTTGCTTGGATTGTTAATGTAATTTCACTAATTTATGTCTTAATTATGTTCCCTCGCACCAATTTTTTCATTGTTTTATGTAGTTGCCACTAAAGATGTCAAATGAGCTAGTTGCATTAAATATGGACAGGTTAGAAAGTGTTATGTTTACCAATAGGTGGATATTGAATATTAATCCACAAAGAAGTAATTTGATCAGAAATGAATTAGATTGAAATGTATTTATTTTTTTAAACTACCTCCAATGATCATTGATATGAAAGAGTTACATTTTGAAGTTTGGTATACCAAACCTAATACAAGATCTTGGGGTAGAACTAGAGTTAGATAAACTCTACAAGTTAACACCAAAAAAGGGGGGAGTCTAAGTTAGCTATTACTCTACTAATGTGACTCCTTGACAAAGAGGATTCAGGGGGGTTCGTAAATAAAATTAGAAGGTTTAACCTGTTGCATTTTGAAGGAAGGGAGCTCCCATCTATCTGTGTTAATTAGTCCCCTAACTTCCCTTGGGAGATCAGAGAAAGAGTTGAACTCATGTATTGCATCAACACTATAACTCCTGGATGCTAATATATCAGCAGGTTTGTTGGTTTCCCTGAAGCAATGACTGCTGATAAATCCATGAGATTCAACTATTTGTTGTGCTTCTTGATTCAATTTGTCCAATCTCCAAGGCGTTCTCCATTCTCCATTTATGCATTTAACTAAGAGTAGGGAATTTGTTTCTTCCCAAACCCTATCATAAAATGGGTTAAAAAATAAGGCATACCCAACCATCAACTTCTCACTAAACTTTAATTAATTTATCTAAGTAATTTAATAACTATTTTTTCTTTATCATGACTGTATGCTACATATAAATATAAAATAAGCAAAAAATAATTTTTTTTTGGGTCAATTTAAATTATATAACCAATCAGAATGAACTAATATATTAATGTATAAGTGGATTAATAATTCATTTATATTTGAATAAAATAGACGAATCATATTTTGATAGGCAAATTTTCCACCGCCCCCGCCCACACCCCTTGCAATTTGCAACCGTTCAAAATAAATTCAAATCAATTGTCACGTTTACGTACTGTAAACAATAAATTAATGAACAATTGCATGGTATTTCACGTGACAAAGACGGTACAAATAGTTGTCGTGTTTCTTTTTATTTTTTGTGGATAACCAATTTGTAAATCCCAATTACATTGTTCCTTCCATCAATAAGAAAGAAACAAACAAATAGGAGTACCAATATTATTATTATAAAATAATACTACTAGTATAAGTTTAGTACAATTGGATGGGATTGAGATGGACTTATGATGACGTGGCATAATAAAAACCACATAAATATGCCTGGTAGAAGAATTAGGTTCGTGGCTCTTAAACTTGCCAAACGAGATATTTATTATCGATTTTGATTCTTTTAACGATTTAAATTTTATTTAACAGATCAAAAAAAAAAAAAAATGTCCATGTGTTTGGATTCCCCTACTATCAAGTAAATGACCCTTAAAAGTGAGTGGAGACGAGCCTCATGATTTCATATGAATTAGTTGGCCTCTGCGGATATTCAAAAACTTTCGACAAGTCAGCACTCAAAATGTACAAGATATTTTCTGCATTCTTGGGGATATTTATCAATTAATTTTTATTTTTTAAAAAAAAATTCTCCTCCTTCAAGTTGGAGATATCGACATCTCGACCATAATAAGAAGGTCGACAAGCAGATGTTGAAGGTTGTGTTTGAAATTTAATTAATTTATATTGTGATAAAATTATTAACAATAAAAATATTTTAAATCAAATTATTAACCTAAAGATGTTTTTATTCTATTTTCACTTGATTTCAAAATATTTTAAACCTTTTTCCAATTAAACAAACATGGTTGAAATTTCATCTTTACCTAATCTATTTCAAAAAACAAATATGCAAGCATTAACCTAAACACGAAACAATTCATTTTACCTAATCTAGATCACAAACCAAATCTCCAATAAATAATAAATGCATTACAAGAAATATATTAAATACATATTTATTTAATCGTATTCTCATTAATTTATCAATGTAACTCACAAATAAATATTATAATTTTAAATATACATATCTAGATACGTTAATTCGTCTCCACAATATTTGTTATTTAGTTAAACACTATAACTTTTAAAATGATTATTTTGACACTAAAAATTATTTATCAACTATTATGTAAGTGCAAATATCTATCGGATACAATGAAAATAACTTGTAATGTTTAATTAGTAATCGTGATCAAGTTACTAAATATAGTACAACTCCCATATTCTCAAAGAATCTGATGATAGAGCCATTTACCTTTAATTTCAAAAGATTATTCGATACTATCTACATACTAAGAATATGAACCATTAATTTACTTTTGGTCCTCTTTGAACTTATTCGAATAGAGTAATTGCTACTCCGTACCCCCTATGTTTTATTCTACGACATTCCCTTAAGAAAGTAGTATTATATACTCTCGCGGTTTAATAATACATGTTCATTAATGATTTTACATATTTTTTAAGAAATTACTAAAAGGTTAATTTTACTATATCACCTTTTGAATATAATAATTATAATGTCTTGAAAAATGTAGCATGAAATGACTAATTAATATTAAGGATAAATTAGAAACTAAGTATAAAATTAGTATAGTATAATATTGTTGGACATCCAAAATAGTATAGTAGACAATTATTATTGGACGGAGGAATATTAGAAATTTACTTTATTAATTATATTTTTAAAAAATAAATTTGATTATAAGTCATTTATTTAATTATTTAATAATAATGAGAATATAAAAAGTTACTTTTTTTTCTTGATTTGTTAAAATAGACAAATAAAAAAAAAAAAGGGTTAAAAAAAAATACATTTCTAGTTTAATTTATCAGTTAAGTTTCTCATCTGTCATTATTAAACTTATAACAGATATATGCCTGAATTGGATGGTTTGATCTATTGAAATTACCTAATTTCAACTAATTTTACCCGATTTCTTTTTTAATCCAAATCTTACTAGACTAAAATACATTCATATAAAATTAAATCTATAACCCATCTATTTAATCTTCTTCACCTCC